ACTGTAGTGATCTGCTAGTCAGCTGCTGGGATGGAAGGCTCCCCACAAGCTCAGCATGCGGGAACGGGAAGAGGACTAACATTTCCTGAGCAAGGGCTGCGGGCCAGGCACTGTTCTGGCCCTTACCGTACAGTACGTCCTATAGATGTTTATAACAGCACTCGAAGGTAAGGTTTGTGCTCAGGGAATCTAAGTGAGTGGCCCAAGGTTACCCAGTTAGCGGGAGGCAGGGCTGGGATTCGCCCTGAGGTGGCTCTGTTACCTCTAATACCCTTCTGCGTGGCCACCAGCACGGTCAGCCCGTTGCCCCTCGGACATGTCAAAGGCTTGAGCAAGCTTCTTTTTCTCTTCCTCCTCCTTCTTCCTCTTTTAATGAAATACAGTTCTCTATTCCACAAATACTTATGGGGTTCCTAACGTGTTCCAGGTACTGTGTTGTGCACAAGTGTATGTAGTGTTTAAACGCGCTTCAAGAAACTCTCCTCAGACAGCAGAAGGCGTTCGAGAGGCAGCAAACACGGGGGCTGGGAATGCAACCTCACACCTCGGGACTGAGTGCTGGCCCTGCCTCTTACTAGCTGTGTGAGGTTGGGAAGGTGTTTTTTTTTTTTTTAACCTGAGTCTTAGTTTCCTCATTTGAACCAAAAGTGTAACAGCAGTGCTGCTCTCATAATAGGCAAATCCTTGATCAAGAGCCTGGCACAGGCTAAGGGCTCAATAAATTACTCAGTAAATAAACCATTATTATTGTCTTCAGTTTACTATTATTGCCAGCTGTAGTAGATGCCTAATAAATAGGCCACTGTGTTTCATAAGAGTTGGTATTTTTATTCATAAAGTGTCAATAGTTTGGTTAAAAATACTACTAAATGTTGTGTTCCTGTAACCATTCCCCAGCACCCCTCAAATCACCCCTGCCTACAGAACCCCAATTCTCCTTTCCTCAAATCCATGTTTCCCTTCCTGCTTTGGGAAACTGCTTTATCAAGGTACTGAGCCATATACTGAGAAGATAGTGGTTAAGCGAGAAGTAAAAAATGAAAGAAAACTCGCCTGTCCTCACTCAGGTGGTCACTCCAGCTGGTTCTTACTATCTGGCCATCTCTTCATTTGTCTCTTGCCTTACAAACATTATTTTCTCATGTGCAGTGCTTGGGACAAAGTTTACATTGGTCCCATTAAATGTTGCCAAAGCCGTTGTGGGACCAATGTGCACAACTGCAAAGCTTTGAGAGGTTTCTGATTAGAGGAGCAACTTAGACCCTAGAAGGGGTCTTGGTGGGGGTGGTTGTTTGGTGTCACTCACCTGCCTCCCAGGGCAGCAATCTTTTCACTCACAGGCCCAGGTGATTCTAGAATGCTCTTATAGTAAAGGACATTTGTATTTATATATTGCTTTCTTGGGTCTTTTTTTCTTGGCCAGCAAAACTGAGGACCGTGAAAGTAATAATACAGACCCACACAGAGGCTTAGGGGCCCATTGAAGTCCTAGAAGGAAAAAAAAATGTAAGTGACAAAAGTAGATTTGGTGATCTATAGTTTCACTTAAGAGGCAATAATATAACATTAAAGTAAGCTTCATAATTTTATTTGAAAATTTTAGTCTGTGCATGTGAACTGTTAAGATATACTGACATAAAAGAAAAAACCACAGTTGACTTTTGCAGGTCTGCAAAAATAGTCTAGCCAGTCCGTCCATGTGAACTGTTTCATTTCTTGTTGCTCTGCATTATTATTTATTTTGAAGAGAAAATTGAAGGAGAGGGGAAGCAACACTTAAAATAATAGTGAGCTATATATAACCTGACAATATGAATCAAGAGCCACAAAAATGTCCACACTCCAATGCAAAAATTCAATTCGGGGATTAATTAACCTAAGAAATTACTTTAGAATATGAAAAAAGCCACATACACATTATTCATGGCTATGTTATTAGTAGGAGTTAAAATTTAAAAGCAATCTTGACACCCTATAATAAGGATAAATTATTAAATTCCTATTCAGTAAACTACTGTGTACCTTTTAAAATAATAGTTATGAAGATTATGTGGCAAAATAGAAACTACTTGAAATGTCATGCCTTAAGGGAAAAGAGCTGAAGATTACACCACCCAAATGAAAAGATGCGAAAGAAATGTATCAAATGATAACAGCTGTGTTTGGGTAATGGCATGATGGTAGCTTTTTTTTTCTCCTTTTCACTCATGATTATTTTAATCCATTTCCAATTTTATAAATTGGAAAACCAATTAAAAGCACTCAAATTAAAAAGCCAATATTTAAAGCCAGAAAGAATGAAATGGAGTTACTTTAAAGTTAGCTATCCTGCACATAGCTTCATGAAGGATTTCACATGGGACAAAATTGCACACAGTTATCACAATTTGTGGGGGGGCATGCATTTGTTCTGAGAGTTGTTGGGGTGGTTGGCAAGACAGTGGAATAATAGCATCAGAAACTAGATCCTCCCACCCCCAGCTGCCAGTAATTCAACTGAGGGTTTCAAGAACCAATTTCTGCCCATTCAAAGTGTGGCTTGTCCCTAGAGATTACCTCCTGCAGCCCATTGTGATGGTGATGGCTGAGATGTGGCCTGGCCTCAACAGCCCCCAGAGGATCAGGCATTTAGTGGAGGAGCCCGGGCAGCTGTCTCGGCTTGGGGTTGCTCGTCATCAGAGACAAGGCAGCCTGTGCAATGTTGACCTGGAGGTGAACAGTCCCATTTCTCATACCCACTCCCCGGAGGCAACAGCCCCTCATTAGGGTACAGTTTCTAATCCAAACAACCATTAATCTTTCTCAGGTTAAAAGGCCAGAAAAGCAAATTTTGCTCTCTTTCTATTTTGATATTGTACTTGTCTGTATTTTACAAGAGCAGACTTGCCTCGTGGACCACTGGAAAACACCCCACAGCTGTGTCCACAGCTACTCAAACAATGCCAGGCCCAACACAGCCCTCCCTGTACACAGAGAAGGGGCAGGAGTACAAAATGAGTCAGCTATTTATTGTGGCTCTTGATAAAAATCACAGAAACGTGACCTACTTGAAACAAATTAGTATTTTGTATCATGAAATAACTTAGGGATGTGCATGTATTTTAAGTGAAAATGGCACCATATATGATAGTTTTTATGAAAGTAATATTATACAAACTTTTAAATACTATTCTTTTAATTTTCCTTGCCTTAGCAAGTAAATTAATCCATATACATGGAGCTGTAACCCCTAAGAAGTTTTTGATCTTTTAAAGGAAATCAATAGAAAAATAGGATTTGACTTAGAAAAATGCACTTAATTGTTGTCTCAGAAGCATCAAAGTGTTTGGTTTTCAGAAATGGGCCAAACCTCCCGTCTCATACTCTTTTATTAGCTGGTAAGTCAAGAAACACATCTTTTCCATATTTTCAAATTGTAAGGACCAAAATGATGGGTATTAAGATAAAAAACATGAAGCCTTCCTAAATCTGTTTTTTCATGTTTGACCTTTAAATCCTTCCTCTACCGAGTCATCATCAGTATGAATACCAAACTCCTTCTGATGAGTCACATTGAGACATCTGGCTACTGGTAATAAAGGCATCGAACATTTAAGAGAGACACAGAATGCATTTTTATATCTCAAATTATTTTACATTAAATTTCCCAAACTCAAAATCTCATATTAAGGACTAGCTAATACATAAAAACTAGTCGTAGTATTTTTCAAGCTGGTCTTGGTTGAATAAAGACAGACTGACAGACCAAGGAACTGGAGCAGAACCCAAGGCCCCTGACCCCTAGTATAAGGCTGTTCTAATAATGCCACATTACCTTGCAGAATATATTATAGGAGTTCTAGAACTTTCTCAGGCTTTTTTTCCAGAGAGTGGGAGAGGACATGTATCTGTTTTTGCTATGCCAAATGTATTTTGAGACATTCATTAACAACTTTTTACTAAAGTTTCCTGAAGGATCTCAGATTGGTAGAGAGTTGAGCTGTTCTCTGCCTCATTCACACAGCTTCTGCTCTCAGAATTCATATTCTCTTGAAAAGGTGGAGGGAATTTTAGCTAGATATGGTCAGCAAGGTATAGCTGAAATTCTGTTGGGCTGTCTTATGCTTGCCTTTGGGCACTTGGTATAAAGAATTTGAATGTTCTGTAGGAATTAAAACTACATCTTGATAGCATTTCCAAGTGAAAAAAGAAATATACATATATAGTTATCTGTAGTATATATACACATATACATGTGTGCTTGTGTGTGTGTGTGTGTATATATACACAAAATTACTGGAAGAACATATAGCCACCACCAAATTTTTAACAGTGGCTATCTTTTGGATGGTGCAATATCAACAAATATTTTGTGTTTATTTTTGTTACCAGTTTTTGATACGAAACATATTTTATGTTTGTAATCAGAGAAAACTCCCAATAAACATTATTTAAAAGATCTCAAGGAAAAAAAGACCTTCATGAAGATAAAGTGAGCCAAGGCATGTTGAATGGCACAGTAATGCCCTTCTCACCCATTTTTTAAAAGCCTGATGTAATTACATATACTTTACTTATTTGATTAAAACTTTAATTCAATTTAAAAGATGAATAAGTCTGCAAGTACACTGAGATCTAGACTTCCAAAGCTCAAGTAGCCAAACCTCAGTGTGGTAACCTTTGTGTGGAAAAATGAGCAGCAGAAGTTTCTGCAGGCCACGAATAATGGGGAGGCAGGTGTACATGCTGCTTGGATTCTCCTCGCAAGGCCGAAGTCTGTAAACTACAACACTGCTTGCTTTCGAAATTAATTTATTCTGAGCACCAGAACATTTTTCCAAAGAGGGAATTACTATGTAGGATGTTAGTGTTTTTCTCAAAAGAACAATTTATTCACCAGAGGATCAGTCTCTAATATTTTACCCCTTTGGATATTTTTTTACCTTTAAATATCAGTTACTAGTATTTTTATAAAATAAGATGAATCTGATGTAAAACAGTAAAATGATATTTTTCTTTCCTTTCTCTCCCCGCTTTTAACATTAGAAAATATATGCTTGTTGTAACAAATCCAAACAATACAGATGTTGATAAAATAAAAAGGGAAAGTATAAAATATAAAGTGAGCATTTTCTCTTAATTCTCTATACCCCAAATTCCATTTCTCCAGCGATAACTTTTAATATTTTGATGTGTAAACTTTTAATATTTTGATGTGTATCCTTCTTTTCTCTCTCTATATAGACATATATTTATACATAATTTAAAAAGTAAAAATCAGACCATACTAATATATAATTGTTCTGCAAGTTACTTTTTTCCAACTTAGCAGTATATCATGGACATATTTCCAACAGATTTACCTCATTCTAAGAGCACTATAGCATTCCATTATTTAATATACTATAATCTATTTATACTATTAATGAATATTTAGGTTCTTTCAAATTTTTTATTGTTAGAAAAAGTGCTGCCAGAAACAACCTTGCCATATTTTTTTACACACTTGTGCTAGTATTTCTGTAGGACAAATTTCCAGACATGGGATTAATGGGCATAGGATATGTGCATTTACATTTTGATAGATACTGAGTTTTTACCCATTTGATAAGTGGAACAGTGGCCGTCTGTGGGGTCTGGGGCAGGAACACGGACCCCTGAAGTCTGGCCCAAGGTGTGACATAGTGGGCATTTGTCCAGCCTGTTTTATGGAAGCACCTTGACTTTGAGCATCAGGGAATCTTCCGCAGGATGAATTTATATCACATTCAAACTGTTAACAGGTAAGTTATGTGGGGAGATGAAAAGTCAAAGCTCTGCCTAGATCAACTTCTGTTTTCAGAACTATGATGGCCAATGGTAATTCTTTCAGTGAAAATGAAACTTAATACAGTTTCATTGAAGCTTCAAACAGGGCAGACAGATCCTCTTCTGACTGAGGGCGTGGTGCAAGCTTGGTGACCCTTTCCTGAAACAGTAAATAAAAGGAGTTACCCAGGGCTTTGAAAAGACAGTTTGTAAAAGCTACTAGGTTATGTAAATTAACTTGGCCATAGAAACAACGACTTGATAATAGCCAGATCTCTAAAAATCATATTTCTTGTTGCTTTGTACTAGCTGATCCCCAACTCAGAAGTTTATCAAGTGGGGCCTCTTTCCCACAAAGCTTTCAAAAGCTGTTGCCCTTGTCTTATGCCCCGGCAACAATCTTCTGCTCAAATGTACAGAACCAAACCAACCTCGGGAAAAACACCTCCTATAATGACAAACCATGTCCGTCAGCAGCCTCTGTCAGGTTCTGTGTGCGGAAAGCACTGTCCCAGGTGCAGCATGTACTGCCAAGGAAAACAGAACTGGCTTGTCCTTGACTTCACAGACTGTAGATTTTGCAACCTGGACTTAAGGTATATTCAAAAGGACTTTATTAGGACATTAACTTTCAGGCTACAGGCAACAAGTGACCCCTTTTTTACTGTTAACTAAGGTTTTATCTCTACCTTCCCAAACAAATTCAGTGACTTGCTTAATTTCTCCAATGATTATTGAGTCAAGTCAGCAAAGGTAGCCAGCATATCCTATTGTTATTTATACTCCTGTCAGTGGCTCCAGGATCCCTCTGGGACAGGGGATTAAAAGATATTATAATGACCACTCTGTGTCCAAATTTCTGGGCCTAAGTGAAATTAAGACATGTGCCAGTTTTTGGTTCCATTTTCACGGGTCTCTCGGTCTGTTTTCTTGTGGTAAGCACTTGTTTGGGAGCACACCTGGTATAAGAGGGCAGCTCCATGAGGGCAGGGCTGTGTTCACTCTATGCCCAGCACCTACTGGAGTGCTTGACACACAGTACACAGGTGCTCAGCAGTTATCTGTTGAATTAATGAAGATGGTGGGAGGGGGAGTATTGGCATCTCAAAATTCACATATACAAGATGGAACTCTGACACCCCCTGCCTCCCATTTTCCTCATCTCAGAAATGACACCCAGTCACTCAGGCAAAAACCCAGCAGTCATCCTTGATTCCTCTTTCCCTTCCCTACAGGTTAAATCCATCAGCAAGTCTGTCAGATCTACCTCCAAAATAAATCCCCAAACCAACCACTTCTCACCTCTGGTTCCACCACAACCCAGGTCTAAGTCACCCTCACTCCCCTTGTGCTACTTGAAAGGCCTCTTAAAGGTCTGTTTCTACTTTTGCTCCACTCTCGCCCCCTAGAGGTCATTCTCCCTACAGCAGCCAGAGTGATTTTTTTCCCAGAATAAGTCTGATCATACCATTTCCTTGCTTAAAGCTCTCCGACGGCTTCCCATTGCATTAGAACAAGACCATGCCTCTGACGCCACCCTGATCTGGCCCTGCTTCTCCTCCCAGCTCTGACTCTTCTCCCCTCGGCTCATCTCACTTATACCCACTGTCCCCTTTCAGTCCCATGAAGATGCTAATCTTCACCCTGTCTCAGGGCCTGTCCCCTCTGCCTAGAATGCTTCTCCCAGATCTTAACATGGCTTCTTCCCCCTCCAGTCAGAGGCCTTCTCTGACCACCCTTGCTGGAGTTCCCTCCACACTGTCCTGCATGAAATCACCCAGGTTTTCCTTCATACCACTAATCATTATCTGAAATAATTTCATGTGTGTCTTACTTATAGATGTGATTGGATGTCCATTGTCTGTCTCCCCTCACTAGAACGTAAGCTCTATGAGGGAGGGAAGGGACTTTATTCTCCTCTTCACTGTACCCCATACAATACCTGGTATATAGTGAGACCTCACTAAGTATTCATCAGGTAAATGGAAGAATGAGAAGAAGAAAGGATGTATACAAAAATTAACTCAAAATGGACCTAAATGTAAAGACCTAAACACAGGAGCCAACACTTTAAAATTCTTAGAAGAAAACAGGGGAAAATCTTCATGACATTGGATTTGGCAATGATTTCTTGGATATGACACCAAAAGCACTGGCAACAAAAGAAAAAACAGATAAACTCGACTACATCAAAATTAAAAACTTTTATGCATCGAAGGGCACTGTCAAGAGAGTGAAAAGATAACAGAAGGGAAGAAAATATTTGCAAGTCATATATCTGATAAGGGATTAATATCCAGAATATATAAATAATTGCTACAACTCAACAACAAAAAACCCCCGACAACCCAATACAAAAACAGGCAAAGGACCTGAATAGACATTTCTCCAAGGAAGACATATAAATAGCCAGTAAACACATGCTCAACATCATTGGTCCTTAGGCAAATACAAGTCAAAACTACAATGAGTTACCACTCACATCCATTAGAATGGCTATCCAAAAAATGGAAAATAACAAGTATTGGTGAAAATGTGGTGAAATTAGAACCCTCATGCATTGTTGGTGGGAATGTAAAATGGTGTAGCTACTATGGAAAAGTTTGGCAGTTTCTCAAAATCCAAGAATTCTATTCTCAGGTATATATCCAAATTAATTGAAATCAGGGACTAAAACAGATACTTGTACACTACTGTTCATAGCAGTGTTGTTCACAATAGCTAAGAGGTGGAAACAACCTAAGTGTCTATCTGTAGATGAATGGATACACAAAATATGCTAAATCGATACAATGGAATATTAGTTTGCCATAAAAAGGAATGAGACATTGAAGACATTACGCTAAGTGAAATACGGCTGACACAAAAGGAAAAACATTATATGATTCCACTTATATGAAGTACCTAGAATAGGCAAATTCATAAAGACAGAAACTAGAACAGAGGTTACTAGGGGAAGAGGGCTAGAATAGAGGGCTGGGGGAAGGGGAGAATGGGGAGTTATTATTTACCATTAAACAATAGAGCAGAGCTTCTATTTGGGATTATTAGAAAGTTCTGGAAATGGATAGTGGTGATGGTTGCACAACATTATATATGTACTTAATGGCATTGAATTGTACACTTAAAATTGTTAAAATAGTAAATATTATGTTAGGTATATTTTAAATTAAATATATTTAATTAAAATAATAAATATAATATAATTATTATATATAAATAAAAATATAATAATAAAATATATTTTAATTAAAATAATAAATTAAAAAAAAAAGAAAGAAGGATGGATGGATAGATGGGAGAAGGATGGGGGCAATGCTGATGAAGCCACGGTAAAATTTTACAAGTCAGCAGATCTTTCAGAGACTCTAAAGAATTCTGAAAATCCTTAGCAAGGCAGAGACTTGTTCATGGTGCTCTACGTATATGTTTGCGGCAGAGTCAAGAACTGAAGTTCAGCATTTGCTATGGCCGAAGATTGTTGCCACATTATTCTGTTTATAATGGAGAGAGAGTCTTACCTGATGAGCTCAAAGGCACTTAAAATGATCCTGTTCATCGCTGGTGAAATAGTTCAGGACTCTCAGAAGTACTTCAGGCCAAGCTGAGCTGAGTTTCTTTCACATTTCTAACCCCCAACGATTGGTTAAACAGGGCAAGGATGTAAAGTTTTGATGTATCTTCACACATATCATCTATGCCACATGAAAACTAAACTCTCTGAATTAAGATGTGTTCAGCAATGCACTATTATTTATAGACATGTAAGACCGTAGGACAGCTGATTAACACGGGCACTGAAATAAATTCAGACTACTACTTTTAGCACATTCATAAAATAACAACATTTCAGCTGGCCTGTCTTCCAGGGAGTGGAAGTGCTCATTTTGGTAGACAGCTCTCCTCAGTAATGAAATGTTTTGATTTGAAATGTAAATGTTTCTTTCCAGAGGTTTCAGAAATCCAGCTTGGAAGATTAATTTATTCTTGCCTGATCCCCTTGCAGCCTGGCCATGGCAGTTGGAAGCGTCTGCACACAGGGCTGCTATTTGCTGCCACCAGTACGGGCTGTGGTGTTTGGTCAAGAATACTGGCCTGGTTGTTCCTTCCAGAGAAAACCAATTCCTCATTGCTGAACACAGAAGAAGCTTTATCAAAGGGTGACTACACGAAATAACCTTTCTGGCAAAGTTCTGTGCAGGAACCGGTATGTCCCTGTCACTACCTTAAATCCTGTAGATACTAACAAGTGAAGATTAGTCTGCCGCATGTGTTAAATTCTGAAGTTGCCATAGCATTCTTGTAAAATGTTCACTGCTACCAAAAAAACAAACAAAAAACCCATAGTAGTTCTTCATCAGTGAAACATTCAAGCTTATTTCTAGAATTCCTTCTAAAGTCCTGTGAATCTCTCTCTCTCTCTATATATATCACATTGACTCCACAATGGAACTAGTGCTAGTTAATCAAAATTAATTAACTATGTTCCTCCCAATCATGAAAACATGATCAAAGGATAAAAAAGGCAGCATACGTGTTGGGGCTGCTTTATGAACACAGCTTGAGGAATCCTTGCTTCTTACTTTATAGATGTGATTTGTATTCAAAGGCTCAATTTACCTTGCATCTTTTGGGAAACTAAGAAATCAGTTTTGTCTAATTAAGGCTTTGCTCTCTGTGATTTCCCAGTATGACATGTGCACTGAGGCATTCAGAACGATACCTAATTAACTTGCTATTTTAGTGGATGGTCTCAAATGTTAGTCTGGATCTCTTACTGTCTGGTACAGCTTCTGAAAGTGAAAGTCTGAGCACAGTAGAATGAAAACAGTAAACACTTGCCAATGTCTGCTGATGGCTGGAAGTTGCATTGCCACCAGCAATTAAATGGCCAAGAAGATCACAGAGTCTCATCTGAAAATCATGGATACCATTCTTGGAGGTTGACAAACTCATATTCCTGAATACTTTCCTGGACTAAACAAGCAGAACTTTTCAGAGGACCCCTTACAGAATGGACACTATCACTGGGACTATGCTCTAAGTGCCAGAGACTACATCAAAATCGTGGTGACCACTTGGTCTCTGGTGTCCCTGGACAGGCTTTCATGGCTCTTTGTCATTGGTTAAGTCCTATTAAGTCTAAGGAAACTTCTCAAAAAGTCACCACCATGCAGCCATTAAGCTCACCTGGACAGAAGATTTAGGAGGAGAGTGCTGCAGGTATGTGTTCATTTAACGTGTTTACTAGCCCATGCGAGGTGCAGTAGAGGATAGAGGAGCAAAACAGACAGACTCCTGCCCTCATGGAACTTACATTCTAGTCGGTTTGGATAAAATAACTGTGATGGTCATAGGTTTTGGCTATTTAGTCCCTGTGACTTGTAGGTTAGAACTAAAGGTTTGGGGGCCGGCCCCGTGGCTTAGCAGTTAAGTGCGTGCGCTCTGCCGCTGGCGGCCCGGGTTCGGATCCCGGGCGCGCACGGACGCACCGCTTCTCCGGCCATGCTGAGGCCGCATCCCACGTACAGCAACTAGAAGGACGTGCAGCTATGACATACAACTATCTACTGGGGCTTTGGGGGAAAAAAAAAAAGAACTAAAGGTTTGTCAGTTAGCCTAGGGGCTCTGCTACACTTGGAAACTCCTCTTTTTCTCATTCATTCATATTTTTAGATGCAATTGAGTCCACTGGGCCTGAGTCTAAATCAGGGAAACTGGTGGCCAATAGGCCATGTTTGTTTGTACATTGAGAAATCAGGGAATTCAACACAAACATCCAGATTGCCGATTTTTCTTGAAAATTGGAAGTTCTACCAACCCTGGGACTGGAAGTTCTGCTTGGAGACAATAAATTGTAGCTGCAAAGAGACTTACCCAAGGAGATGGGTCATGTGCTTTCCAGTTCACCAAAGTCCCCACCATTCCCTATTGCCTTAAATTACTTTGTTCATTGCTATTACCTACCTGGCTCCTGAGGACCTATGGGTCTGTAAATCCAATCCATACAAATATTATCTTACATGAGTGGTGAGGTCTTCAATATTCTAAGCACCTGCTAAGTGGGGAAGAAGCTAGTGTGAGGCCTTGCTTAATTGGAAAGAGGTGAGGGAAAAGCACTGTTACTTGTGGTTTGCAGGACGCTGTGTGAGTGGATATTCCAGCTGTGAACTCTGTTCCAATGTCAGGGATAGATCCATGAATGCCTGAACTTTGGGCAGACGTGCCTTATCCTCGTATCTTCATAGGGTTTAAGTGATCCTTGCCTTTCCATTTTGGGCAGGAGGACTAAGTGAGCACCCTGGGCATGGTGAACATGGTGTGGTCCATAAACCAAGCGTTCATGGCTCTGGCTCTCTATTTTATGGTGAAGTGCAGTGAACAACGTCTTGGTCTATTAGGATCTGACGCTATAGCACACGGGTATCTGATCCTAAATGGAAGAGAGGTCCAATGGGGGATAAACGCTCTTCATGAGAATCTTGGAAGGGGAAACTCTACATCTATTATGATTCTACCAAATAAAGGATAGCAGCTCAGTTTAAATTCTTTAGCAACATTTAAATAAATGAAATAAGACCCAAAGTGACACAGATATGTACACATATGTGTATGTATAAAATATACAATCTCCCAAATATGTTAAAAAGTGATTTTGTAATAGTCTTATTTAAAGGCCATGTCTATTCTTTTTCTTTTTTTTGCTAAGGAAGATTCACCCTGAGCAAACATCTGTGCCAATCCTTCTCTATTTTGTATGTGGGTCGCCTCCACAGCATGGCCACTGACGAATGGTGTAGGTTCTACACCCGGTTCAGAACTATGACCCCTGAAGTGAAGTGCACCGAACTTAACCGCTACGCCATGGGGCTGGCCCCAGGCCATGTCTCTTCTTCATAAAATAGTAGGAATTTGTAACTCTTTATAATGGGAAATAATATTAGTGGCCCTTTTGGAACAGCTTTACATAGTTTTATAGGGGACTCTTAAAAGAACAGAAATGGAGAAAAGGGAAATTTTGCTAAAGCTAAGATAAATTTGGTTGTTTTTGCCTTGAATTTTTATAAAGGATCCTTTCAGTTACATCATAAAAGCTTCACATAAGCCACACAGTTTTATGGAAGAATTTAAGGTGAGGGAGCCTTGGCCCCTTCCTGCAGGGGAAGGGGAGAGCGGCTGTCTGGTGTGGAGGAGACTTGAGAGCTGCTGGAGGACCCCTGGGTTTCACCTCCCCTAACATGTCCCAAATAGACCATGTCTTTCCAGCAGCTTTGCGCTTCTTAGAAGGGAGTGAGGATGTGCTGCGTCTCTTACCTGGGGCAGTGTACCTTTCACTAATGTGGGGATATCGGCCTTGGAGTAACCAATGGCAGCTAGGCCATCGTCAACATCCAGATCGAATAAGAATTTCCGGAGTGTGTCTGCCAAAATAGGCCCGGCATCTGGGATCCTTGCAGTGCGGGTGTCGGCTCCTAGAAGACACAAAGCACTGACTGTAGAGAGAGGGGAGGAAGCAGGCCCTGGGTGTAATTCAGTCACAAGATAGCTGAATATATAGCCTACTGCTGGCTCCCTGACACCAAGGACAAGGGCACTGCTGTGCCTTCACATGGAGGCTGGCCCAGCGGTCAACCCCACAGAAGACAGATGGGCCTGGCCAGCCTGCGGAACCCGGCGAGCCTCTGCAGAGAAGTGGGCTGGGGCAGCTAACTTGGCTCTCACATTTCCAATGGGCTGCTCGCCCTGTGTGGTGGGAAGAAGAGGAACAGAGCCAAGAAAAGAGGCACAGGAAGGAGACAAAGAAAGAAAGCTGGTGTTCAGATGAGGAGGAAGAAGCATTTGTAGGAGGAAACACAGCTTATGTAACTTTCAAGGCTTGGAATTTGCTGACATCTAGAGGTATCTGTGTTCAATATCTTTTCTCACAGCAACATCTTAGGGAAAGAAGACAAACTCTTTGCAAACACCTTGTGAGACAAAGATATATTTAAGTACAAAAACTCCAACATTAACTGCCGAAAAGGAGGATAATGACAAAAATGGATTATGTCTGGCCAGGAAAGAAAATATTTCCTCTCTATAGTTAAAACTTTTTATTTTGGAGTCTGTTGTCAAAGGGCAGGGCAGGTTCTTCTAAATAAATATTACAGAACCAGTAAGGCAGAATCAAGAACATGAGGACTCTCAGAAAACAGGATTTAATATGTGGACAATAATGATATCGGTGAAGGGGGAAGAAGGTTGCCAAGGGTTGGAGATCTGTAAGGGCAGAATTTGGATATAATTAATAATTAATACATGAAATCATAGAGATGTCAATCTGGAAGAGTCCAGGGGTTCTGCCCCCAGGCTGTGTAGTAGTGAAAGTTCCCAGACGGAAAGAGCTGATCAAAACTCTTAGCACCCCTGCCCCTCATCTATTCTAGTCGAATACATTCACTGCCAGGAAGTGAAGCACTCCACGAACAGAATGGAGTATTGTTTATTATCCAAAATGCCTCATAATGTAGTCCAAGTCCACTGTCTCTGTATTGTCCAAAAGGAGACTGGAAAGCACGGTTCACCTCCATGCTGAACCACATTATTAAACCAGCATTAACCTTTCTCTTGTATGACAGCGAGAACTGTTTTAGTAATCCAGGAAAAGGGATAAATAGAACCAGATACAGGGCTCCTTGGAAGAGGAGCTGGATGGAAGGTAAACCTCGCCTGACGAGACCAGTCTGTAGTCCACAGCGGCAGCTAAAATACGGATTAGGTAGAGAGGCGACACACGATTCAGGGCTTATGAGATTTCATATTTCTGGGATTGCTGCCATAAAACACACCATCAAAACCTCTGGGTTTCCTATGAAATGTTTTAGAAAAAAAGAGAGGGTAGGAAAGAGAATAAATTGGTATAAAGCTAAGAAAATCTAAGATCACATAGAGAATCAAAATATTTAATGGCTAAGTAGGGAATAATATTAAACAAAATTTCCTATGCAAGAAGAAAGAATTGGTGGGTTCTTCCAGCCCGTGTTTTGTCTAACAGAGGAACCGCTTTCTCAGTAATTTCGTTGGTTGCCTGGAATGTTAGCTTTAAGTTCTCTAAGATTTTCCCATTTACCAAAAATCTAGCCTACTATTTGGGCTCCTTCCTATTTATGCTGTTTGCATATTTACAAAGGCAGCTGAGTGCCAACAAATGGCTGAACAACATCCTCAGTCCAAAAGGGAAAAGGGATACAAGATCCTTGGTACAGTCGGCAGCATATTTCCGGCAGCATGTGCTGGGGAATCACGCCGTGGGCACTGCTCCTCCACCCTGGGTTTCTTTCATTAACATTCCCAGCACAGCACCGGGAACTCTGCAGACTGCCCAACGCCAGAGTGTGAGAGAGAAGTGGAGGGGAAGCGGCAGAGGGATGTCTGTGGTCATTCCTACCTTCTTGCAAATAATCTCTCCAACGGCTGGTGCTAGAAGAGCATAATGAAGTTTTCTTTTTAGCCTTTCCCTTCCTACCCTAAACACAAGTAGAGGAATAGATGTTTTCAAAGTTGATCAAATAGTCAAGTCTCCTTAAAAGTGTTCTCGTCTCAAAAAAACACCAAAATTTTATTTAACCGAAAGCTATCCTTAACATAATTTTATTTCCTGTAAGATCCAAAAGGCATTGTGGGTATCTTACTAGAGACATTATTTATTCCACAGAGCAGCAAACAAATTCTTCTTTGGGGATCTTTTTATAAAGTTCCTCGTTGTTTGGATTCTCTATAATTGGGAATTTACTGTTAGTTCCTGACTTAGATTCATTTTATTACCTATTAAACATAGCAAGAGCCAATTATAACATTAATAGTATACGAAGAGTTTCACTTTCCTTAGGGATAAAAACAGTAGAAATAGTATTACTACAAACTTAACATTAGCAATATTTGGCTCCATTGCATTATTAATAGGCCATTAGAGACAAAATTATGGAATTTTAGTGCTAGACAGGACTTTGGGCAGGTCACTTACATTTTATTATTAAACTATCTCAAAGCAACATTTATAGGTACTATCTGTTATAGTTTGTCTTCAGAAGCGACCCTAGGAAATGCTCCGTATATATGGTCACAGATTTACGAGTAATGGTTCATACCCAATATTTCTGCTGTTTCCAGGTGCCTCTCAGGAGACATTTGTGCCGTGAAAGTGAACACTGCTGGGGAGGTGAGCACCACAGAAAGGCCGTGAGGCTGGAGAAAAATAAAACATGGTGACTGATGGGGCAAAGCTGGTCTTTAACCTGCATATTCTAGATATTAAATTACTTTACCCTGTAATCAAGGTTACTCCAAGTAATCAAGAATTGACAAATACATTTATGGAAATTGCAAAGAATATAAGATCTAATTAAAGAATTTATTATGATTTTACCACCAGTGGGTGATCCACATTATAATCCTTTGCTTTATATGTCTTCACTAAGCCTGAAATTGGGTAAGACATTCCATGGCTAGAAAAGAAAGAAAGTCCTTATGTTGATGTATAGATATCAGAAATTTAAGTTAACAAAACAAAGATACTCTCATGGAAGAGCCCTTCACAGCCTCTCGACACTATCATTATCTCAAAAAATTACACATTCTGTTTTCTTTGATATAAGGATATATTTCGATGCATTTGACATTTGATTTATCATTAACTAAACTTCTGAAATGATCAAATTCAAATGCTCATAGAATTGTATGCCATTAAAAAGTGTTGATGCAGAAGTTGCTCTCCAAACACATTGGTTAACCTTAGCATCTTGAAGAAACTGAGAATTCACTGTGAAATTTCTTTAATAAGCTTCAGAGCATGCATTTTCTATCTTGCTCTGCACTGCCTTGGCAACACGCTCCTGCACACGCTGATGATGTGGGTGGGAGTTTTATGAGCCAAGATGTGCTGCACTAGACAAGCAAGCTTGACCCGCTAGTGATCTGTCTCGCCAATAATTGATACATCCTTTCAAATGTTGCACACTAATGGAGTTGAATCATAAATGATTTTTCTAGCCTGAAAGGCTATCAAGAAAGGGCACCATGATTTTTATTTGTGGAGTTTTCTTGTGGTTTATTTTAATGGAAAAACTCTTTATATCCTCTTGAATTCTTAGTGAACAAATAGGATAATATCATAGTTTACTAGATGACTGAGAAGATATACATTATAGAAGTTAATATATTTACAATTACTATATTGAAAATGAAATGCTTTACAATAGCAAAATGGTCTATAAGTCTTTGAATGTGGGTTATTGGATGACTTTGTGCTTATTCACCAACGATTTACATTTTGTGAAGTATTTTGGTGAACTGTAGGATTACCTATCCAGAAAAAAGTGCTCCTTGCCTATCATCTTTCAGGAGGCAGATTGGAAGCTATCGGTTCTCTGATCTGTTGGGTACTTAGGAGTGCGCTTTACCTGTCTCAGTTTCCACAGTAGTTGGAAAATTATTGCTTAGTGTGCTTTTATGACGTGAAAGTGTTCATATAGCTTTCAAAAGTACCTAATAATATCCAATATTTTATTTTGACTTGACAGTTGTATATGTTCTTTGTAAAAGATAAAAATGATCCATAATCCTATTTCCTCAAGATAACCATTATAGAATATTTCCTTCTAGTCTTTTTATGCATATCTTTAATTTATGATCACATCCAGCATACAGTTTTAAACATTGCTTTTGTTACCCAATATTCTTTATAAACATTTTCCCATATCATTTTCTATTCTTCTAAAACATTATTATTTTTTTGTTGTTGTGAGGAAGATCAGCCCTGAGCTAACATCTGATGCCAATCCTCATCTTTTTTTTTTTTTTTTGCTGAGGAAGATTGGCCCTGAGCTAACATCCATGTCCATCTTCCTCTACTTTATATGGGACACCGCCACAGCATGGCTTGACAAGCAGTGCGTCAGTGTGCGCCCGGGATCCGAACCAGTGAAACCTGGGCCGCCGCAGCGGAGCGCATGCACTTAACTGCTTGTACCACCGGGCTGGCCCCTAAAACATTGTTTTTAATAGCCTTATTTTATTCTTTGAGTACTGCACTTCAGTTAACCATTCCCAAACTGTTAGAAATTTAGATTGTTCCCAAAATTTTCAATTATAAATAACAATTAGGTGAATATCCTTAAAACAAAATTCTTAGATCATATCGTGATTATTTCTTTAGGCTACATTTCTAGAAGTAAAATTAGTGGGTCAAAGGGTATAAACATCTTTCAAGCTCTGGGTGGATTTTGCTCACTTGCTTTTTAGAAAGGTGGTGCCAATCTATGCTTCCCTCAGCAGCAGAGTTTGAGGGTGACCATTTCATCGCACTCTCCCTAGCAAAGACCTATTCTTAATTCCTAGTGTTCACTGGTATTCAATTTTAAGGCAACATACCAATAACGTTCTGATCAAACAGATTAATTCTGGGCTATTGACAAAGATTTTTATCCTTCTCTTTTTGTGAGAGATTAGGAGAAAAAAAATCCTGCATTGAGGTTTCAAAAATCCATGACACATGGTGAAGATGTGGAGAAATCAGAACCCTAATCCACTGCTGGTGGGAATGTAAAATGGTGTAGCCACTGTGGAAAACAATCTGGCAGTTCCTCAAAATTTAAACATAGAGTTACCATATGACCCAGCAATTCCATTCCTAGGTATATACTCAATAGAAATGAAAACATATGTCTACACAAAAACTTGTACATGAATGTTCATGGCAGCAGTATTCATAATAGCCAAAAAAGTGGAAACAACCCAAATGTCCATCATCTGATAAATGGATATTTGATATATCCATACAGTGGAATGTTATTTGGCAATAAAAAAGAATGAAGTACTGATACATGTGTAGATGAACCATGGAAACATTATGCTAAGTTAAAGAAGCCAGACACAAAAGACCACATATTATGTAATTTCATTTATATGAAATATCCAGAATAGGCAAACCTATAGACACAGAAAGTGAATTAAGACTGCTTAAGGCGGGGGGGTACAGGAGGATTGGCGGGTGACAGCTAAGGGGTATGAGATTTCTTTTTAGAGGGATAAAATGTTGTAAAATTGATTGTGTTAATGGTTGTACAACTCTGTAACTATACTAAAAACCACTGAATTATATATTTTAAATGGGTAAATTATATAGTGTGTGAATTATATTTCAATAAAGCTGTTAACCGAAAAAAATCTATGACTCAATAAATTACATTTGAATTAAGAAAATATTATAGGACCCTAAGTTAAATTTCTTCTTTCTATAGCATATTTAAATCTTATCACTTGTCCTAAATCATAAACATTAAAAAAAATTTTAAAGCAATAGCTTAGGTGAAGAAATAAAATCTCGAATTCACTCACCACAGATGAACACCAGCATTTCCAAAGCCAATGCCAGCAAAAGCACTTGCCAAGTGCATATTAGACCTTGCTTCAAGATCATCAGGATTTCTGACAGCCCTGTGGATGATATAAATACCTAACAATAACACATCAACGTTGGTATTTCCTACTCAATAAAGAGTCGCCTTAGGGAAAGATCTGGAAAAAAAGAAATGCTACTTGGTAGGAAGAAAAATTAGGCAAGTTATTCAAATGACGTCTTGTTTTCTAAAGGAAAACTGAAGAGAAACATATTTTCTCATCAACGGTTTCAGAAAGGCATAATAAATACTCTGTCAGGGTGCTCATGTGATAAAAGTGCCAGAGGAAGCAAAGCACTGACCCTTGGACTGTGAGAGCTGCTCTAGGAAAGTGCCCTGAGACTCATTCTTCTTTTTCATTTGTCAATGACCTTGACTGCAGCCGTGAATGGACTTGGAGTAAACATATACTCAGAATGCTCGGGGTCCAGACTGGTTCCCTGAAGTAAGTCCCTGTCGCCTGGGGCTACCTGCAGGCCAAATGTGGCCTGACCAGCCATCTTTGTTTCTGTGACATTGGCCCAAATCGGACCCACTGGAGGCCTCTTTTGGTATCTGTGGAAACTGCACGTTATTTTAATATTTATTATTGTGGAAGTGGGATGTTATTGTAGGACGAGACTTGCTTGCTCTGTACGTCCCCAATGCCACTTTGGAAAAGGAAATTCTCAAAGGCCCCTTTCAGATGCAGCTCAGCCTCCCTGCACATACTGCTTGGAGACCCTGCCCCAGGCAGGAAGCCTCAGATGGCCAAGCACACCACTTCTCACCTGCTTTTTTGCGATTTTGCCTGGACTAATGCTTCCTGTTGTGAAATAAAAGTGCCACAGCCTTTTTTCTCCTTTCATTTGGAATGGTCAGGCGTTTGTGTCTCCTTTCCAAAACCCAATGTTAGTTCGTTATTCCCCGAATAAAAAGATGAGATGGCAGATGATGGGGCTTCAAACTTTCCTCTACCCATTTTACCCCCTCATTTCCCACTGCTGCTCTGCAAGGTCTTCTGTCAAACACACTGGCCGACCATTCCCGTTATCTGTATCTGCTTCTACGCAGTCAAATGCTGCTGTGCTCCCTGAAGGTCTCCGTGTCCCTCCCCTGCTCTACTACAAAATGCAGTCCAAGTCCCGTCCCCAGTGCAGTCTCCAGCTCAAGGCGAGAGGAGACACCGGGCTCACATCTAGGCCTAACCTGCTGTGTTCTTCCCCTCCGTTGTATAAGTACAAAAGTGGGTCTGACTTGGCATATGTCTTAATGTCTCAGGGATGAGCTTTCATCTCTAAGTATATCTTTGCTCTCTCAGGAGCCTATTATGGCTATGTCATTCATAAACCTTTCAAAACCAAATTTTAGGAAAACTTTTATATCTCCTGGGACAGACAACTCTACACGTTTCTTTCTTCAATTTAGTTCACGTGCGTTTGCACCAGGAGTCGATTTCCTGTGCCTTTGGACAGGGCCTGGACAGGCACAGCCAACATCTGCCTCATTTCTCATTTCTGCCCTTGGTAGCCAAATCTCAAAGGATATCTCCCCTCACCCTAGCTTTGGTTCTGAGGCTTTGTTGAATAAACCTTCTAACTGCGTCCTTCATAAATCAGGGGCTCAAATTTTGTCCCCTTGCCAGCCTTTTCAGACTGAAGGATCCAGTTTTCGTCTGTCTTCAAGTGGCTTCCTCCCCACCCTTTCATCCCTCCGGAGCTTGCTTGTCTCTGCTACTTCTCAATGTCCACTGACTGATCTTTTGGTGAACAGGATTGCTCAGGATAGTTCAGGATCTGGCGCACGACATTGTCTGTGAGGGTGGAATGTGGATTTTCTTTTCTGATTCTATCTCCTCTGGGCCACATACCTCTTCAGATACTTAGCGACCATCCGTAGCGCGTGGACTGCCCAAATGTCGCTGATTGGGTTGCTGCCCTGGTATGTTGGCCGTGTGGTGGGATTTGAAGGGCAGGGGCTCCGCATGTGGTAGGGAAGGGCAGTGTAGGACTCCAGGGCATGGCTAACAAGAAACATTTAAAATACACAGGTTGAAAGTGTTGGCTTCCTTCTTTCCTCCATTCAGACTATAAACTGTCTTGGAAACGTTCGGTACTCACTCCACTGTGGATATGCTACGTAGCAGTGATAACCACAATACATTCTACTAGTCAGCCTGGTGTCTACAAGAGTCATCACTTATTACAGAAATTAACACAGTGAAGTTTATATTAACAACACTACAGTGTTTTTGACCAGTAAGTATAAGATTACATACGGCCCATTCCTGGTACAAATAAATCTTTATGATGTTGAACTTTTAAACATTTGAGTCATGAAGAAAAGCACTGAATCTAAAAAAATCAGTTCCTTGTAAAATATATATATCACTTTTTTTACCTTATATTGATCAAATATCATATTACCCAAGGAGGGTCATAGTTACACTAGCCTCCTGTTAAGCGTCTGGTGCAGTGAGGGAGAACACAGACCCTGGAGTCAGCTGCCCAGGTGTAAATCCTGGCACCAGACCTTCTCGCTGCAGGCCTGGGGGGCGGGGGAGGGGAGTGGTCACTACTCTCCCTGTGACTCTAAGATGGGGATAAATAATAGTAGGTCTTCATGGTGCTGCTATGAAAATTAAATGAATTGATACATGTAAAGTACTTAGAACAGTGCCTGGCACACTGTAAAACTTATAATTCACCATTATTATTATTATTACTTGGCCTGAAAAAAATCCAATTATTTTTTCTTACATGCCCTAAACTCAGAGTTGGCTATTTCAAGAACCAGGCTTCAGAGTTTCCTCCACCTGCTGGCCTGCCATCAGTTCTAGTTAATCAACTGAGAAGATGAGACTAAACAAGACCATCCAGATGAATGATGCATTGAGAACACAATATAACATGAAACATTTTTTGCATGAATTATAGTTTTCAGTCTTAGAATGGAGAATTTACTCTCTTTTACATGTGAGAAACAGATAACATCTTTTGAACAAAGCATTAGAACTTTTTTTCAATTAGTTGGTAGATGGATACTATGAATTTATGGTTCAAAACAGGGAATCTGTGGGCAATGCAATAATGAGGTGTCCACGTGGGGAGGACGGGGTGGCGATGAGTCCACTGAGGTGCAGAGCCAGACCTCTGCTCTGCATGCATCTCCATTCTGAGCCCAAAAGTTGATCTGTCTCACAGGGGCACACTTGCTGAGCTGAACCCACAGAAACTATGTGTAAAGCCTGGAAGTCTGATAATGGATTTACAATGAGAAATGTAACTGCTGAGGGGGACAGACACCTGAGTCTTCCATATGGCATCTTTTCTTGCCTTTGGCAAGTCCTATGGATGCCAATTTATGATTGGAAGGCCCATGGAATCCTAACAAGGGGAATTGCCTCCAAGGTTGAATATACGGGAATGTCCATCTTCAGAATAGACCACTGGGCCTCAGGGGCAGATTCCTCAGGCCAGGCATTCTCTCCCTCAGACAGTAATTGGAAGGGCAACTACCATCATTCTCCTTTCTTCTGAGTCCCCTCCCCACTTTGATTGACAGTGAAGTCTTTGGGCCTATGAGTCATTTACTTAAAAGTGACTGCTTTGGTCCATTATATACTTATTATGCAGTTTCCAGTTAGGGAATCTTATTTCCCTCATTTCCAAGTTATTAAGGGACAACTCTTCAAAGTACTGACAACACTGATGAGGATGGAGTTGGACTCAATTTTCTCCAGTTTCTTGGGAGGCAGCGTAACGTAGTGAGAAAAGCAGACCAGGGACTTGGGTAGACCTGGATATGAATCCTAACTCTGCTGCTTCCTGCTTGTGTGAACTTCATTCAACAGATATTAACTGAATACCTATGACGTTATGGTCACTGTGACAAGGGGCAGGGATACAGAAGCGAGTAAGATGGTTCCGTCTTCGCCAATCTCACGGTTCAGTGAGGAGATGGGCATGTGAAGAGAGAGATGTCTCACAGCAATGTATAGGCCATCCGATGGGAAAGAGCAAAGGATGGAAGGGTCAGTTATACTTGAGGAGAGGGAAGGGGAGGTCAGCAAAGGCTCCATCAAGGAGAGAATGCTCCAGTGGAAATGAAAGATGAGTTCCCAAGCAGATAAAGGGCTAAACACTGGGGACACTCCAGAGCCAAAGGAATTTGGCCTTCGGACATTAGATGTGGAAAGACTTGTAAGGCAGAGGTGTACGTATGTGCGTGTGCATGCACGTGTCAATGTGTGATGGTCATAGTGTACTCTGAAAGCTGGATGAGGCTAGTATGGAGGACAGATGGAAGGACTATGGGATGGAAGCAGGGAGACTGATGAGGAGACACTGCAACCATCCAGGCAAGAGCTGGGGCAGGCCTGAACCAAGGTGGGAACAAAGAGGCTCGAGAGGAGGGAGCAGATATGAGAGATTCAAGCAGGGCAAGAGATAGGATCTGCTGGCTGGGCGTGGGCATGAGAGAGAGAAATGCATACTGATTCCTGCTGCTCACTAAGTTAAGCGACTCAGGAGGAGAAGCTGTGAGGTGTAGAGGGGATTAAGAGAACGATCAGATTTCATCAAATTTAAGATGCCATGCGTTATAAGATGCACCATTTTAAAAAATGTACCAGAGGAAGAAAACTATACTGCCATGCCACAGATTTTAAGTTATGTTCTGATTTCAGGATGGTAGAATGCGAAAAAAATGTGCATGTGCAAATGGATGAAATAGGGTAGTTTGGGTCAATACTGAAGTGCCCGTGGGACTCTGTGAGGCTGCTGGAACCAACGGCCTGGAACTCAGGAGCGAGGTGGGTGGTAGAAACGCTGGGTAGGGAGCCACCAGCACATGGCAGCTGAGGCCAAGGAAGCACACGGCAATGACTCTGGGCGAGTTACTAAGCAACTCAAAGCCACTTTTCTTTTTCGTACAGAAGAGAGCTATGGTGAAGTGAGGCTGCGTGTGCAGTGCTGACATGGTGAGCACAGGCCAGCTCAGGAAATGTTAGCTCCCTTCCCTGCCCTCTTCCGTGTTGAGGCAGCCCTGGGAGTTCCCTGGGTAGTATAGCCGTAGAGGCAGGTGTTGTGGGTCTGAGACCCTGCACGCCAGCTCCAACTGCTCCTTTTGCTGAGTCCCTGTGGCTGCAGCTGTTGCAGCATGGTCCATCCTGAACAGCAGGTTTGTGGCTCACCCAGGACCTCACCTAGTCACCAACCTTCACAGCTTCAGTATTTTCACCCAGGAAAGGGGATTATGACAGCCAAGCTGGGGTTGTCATGGAGTGCTAATCAACGAACGCTTAGCAAGTGCTATCAGCAAGAAAATACTGTTTATAGGCCCAGGTACTGAAAAAGCCCTGCCCAGTGGCACCAGTACCTACCAAAGGACATCGAAGCCGCTGTTGGCGACCACCCGGTCAGGCATGTGCAGGGTGTGCAGAGGATCGATCAGTCCCAGCGTGGGCTTGATGGCTCGGGAAGCAATGCCTAAGACAGGGATTTTCAATAAAGGCTATCGGTATGGATACCATTTGAAAAAGTTTAATAACTTTAGGATGACAAATTATCCTAAAAAAAAAAAACAAGATAAGATTTATTCTCATGTAGAGAGGCAGCAAGGAGGAGTGGAAAGAGATTGGGAGTCAGAAACCTGGGTTTTTCAGTGCAGCTGAAGGCTCCTTCTGGTTTGCAAGAGCCCAGTGTGCACATCTCTTCCCAACTCCAGGTTGAGTGACGTCATTGGCTATGGTGGGATATTTACACCACAGAAGTCGGCAAACAATGCAAATCAGGGCTTATTTACTAATTAAATTCCACAGAGCTGGTTTACTAGCACACCACTGATTTGGGGCTCTGCTCTGAGACTTACTGTGTGTCTTTGGGTAAGTCACTTAGCCTCTCTGAGTTCTGTATAAGATTAGACTCTGACAACACAGGGCTTCCAACCCTCACAGAGCTGTTGTAAGGATCGCATTAGATAATATTATGTAAAAGTCTTTAAAAAACTGTAAGATAGAATTTAAGTGTTGATTACTATTATTATTATCTTTAATAAGGTCCAAGGATAATGTAATTTAATTTTGAAAAGAGACGTCACTATAACTGTGCAGCTGAACGTCAATTTATTCTGCTACAAAGGCCTGGAAGAAGGATATTAGGCCAGGCTCAAGGAGAGAGAGATCTTTACCATTAGCTGAGAGTCAGAGAAGAAAACAGGGTAAAAATGGCAAAGAAGATGGAAAGCAGAACAGTGGTTACTTGGGAATGGGGCTGAAGGGACTGACTGGGAAGGAGCACGAGGGAACTTTCTGGAGTGACGGGAATGTTGTGTATCTTGACTGCGGTGGTGGTTACGCGGGTGTATATATTTGTCAAAATTCACCAAACCAGACTCTTAAAATATATGCATTATATAAAAATTATACCTCAATGAAATTGATTTAAAATGTAAAAAAGATGTCCAAGAAAGGAAATCACCATTTATCATTGACATACAGTCACTAACTTGGGCAGAAAAACAGCCAATCAAGATTCACAGCATTTCAATATCCTTTTGGAGGTAATTGTCCAAAAGAAGTTTATCAGATTGTTTCATGTTTTTATATCTACTTGGAAAAAGAAAGAAAACATGTATATGTATATACCCTTTCCTTAACTCCATAACTCCTTGATTTTTAAATATTAGGATTAAAGAGAAGAGGGTGAGGTTGATAAGTAAGAGAAAGAAAGAAAAAAAAAATTTATGGGCAAAGTTCTTACCAGTTTTTACTTTCAACTGTTCATAGTCAAAAATGGCAACTCCGGTAGTTTCACTGCCAGTTCCTGAGGTAGTTGGGACTTGAACAAAATAATGTTAATTTTAATAAAGCAACTAAATAAAGGTCAGTGGAGATACATAACTCAGCCTTAGGAAATAAGGAACAAAGTTAGCGAAGGAAGCTTTGCTGCCCCCGTTGCTCACCTGATGTCTGTATATATACTAACATGCATGTATGCTTCACATGTACGCCTGTGTCTGCATTAACACACATGTTTAACATGTATGTGTGATGGCAGTGTCTGCATTAATACACATGCACGTTTAACATGTATGATGTATGTGTCTGCATTGACACGTATACATGTCTAAGAGGTATGTGCTAACTTTGATGTGTATGTGTCATACCTGTATCTGTGTTAACATGTATGTATGATGTCTCTGCCTGTGCTGTGTATATATGCCTAACATGTATGCATGATGCCCATGCCTATTTTAACATGCATGTATAACATGTATGTGTGATGTATGTTTCTGTGTTAACAGTGAGGAGCTCTGGGAACCTCAGGCTCCTCTAGCAGCTGCAGCTGGTATTCAAACACAGGCTGCTTGGCATCTCCAGTAAGAAAACTCATATTTGCCACCTCTAAAAGACATCTTTATTCCCTCTTAGCAGCAAGCACAGTAACGCTCTCCCTTTGCTGGGCTCCGCGGTTTTGTACTTCTGTCAAGTCTCTAAACTTTACTAATCACCCCTCTGTGTGATGCTGACACAGTTTCACCGGGGGGTTCCATTTGCCAGACATCAATTATGCTGCTCCCTGCTGATCGCTCATTCATGTCAAAGCAGTTCATCTGCCATCAACTCTCTCCTACCCCATCACAGGCCTGTTCACAACGGGGGCAGCAGAGGGGGAGAAGAGAGAGGATGAAACTTTAAACTGGTATTTTCCAGTTACCAGTTAGTGCATTCTAGCTATAAAACTTTAAACAGCAATACGCTAACAGCATAAATGAGAGGGAAGAAAAGACTGAAAGATCCCAAGGTCTGTGTGGAACAGATGACAAGCTATTCTGGTTTGGATTTGCGTGTCTCTGCCTGAGGCAGCCACAAAGCAGATGTCTCGAGAGGGATGCAGCCACGCTGGCCACATGTCCCAGGGCAGAGACAAAGCCCCAGGTCAGCTGAAGAGCCATTACGTGGAAGAAAGCGTTGAGTCAACACCAGAAAAATAATAGCAAATGTTCCCCTTAAACTCTGGTGGCTGGCAAAAGGGGACCAAACAAAGAGGAGTTAGGAAGACAAACCTGCCCAGAGAGGGATCTAATAATATGTAAACGAGGAGCTTCCCCTCCACCCCACAGAATGACTTCATAGCTTAAATCTGCAAACTTTCCTACCACTGACCCAAACTATCTCTATCTTAGCAACAATGAAGACCAGAATTTTAAACATGAATGAATTGCTATCTGTTTTGATCTCCAAACAAGGTACTAGACTGAAATGAGGAAATCAGAAAGCTTTAGAAATATATACCCTAAAATTACTGGCTTGCATCTTTCGTAAAGCCATTTGCCAATTACAAAACAAAACAAACAAACAAACGGTCTTTACCTGCAATCAGAGGCTTAAGAGGCACAGACACAGGCTCTCCCTTCCCAATGGGGGCATTGACATAATCTAGGAAATCAGAGTGAGGGCTGGACGCATACAGATTAGCAGCTTTACAGGTGTCCATGGTGGAGCCACCACCCACAGCAACGTAGGCATCAAAAGCCCCCTTTTTGGCAAACTCAATAGCTTCCATGAAGCTTGGAGAAGGGAAAACAAAAGCCATTATGCCATATTTTTCAGAAATAAGTTGCCATGCCATTAAATAAGACCTGGGGCAAGTTTTAAGCAACAGTGATATGAGTTGGCTTCCACTTAAAGTAAATAATAACAATAAAAAAATACCTTCTGTCAGTTGGTTCCACCCTCACATTGTCATAAACCTTAAAGTTTACGCCATTCTTCACCAGGGAATCCATAACTATTTGTACAGGAGGGAGCTGGGAGAGATTCCTGTCTGTCATCAAACAAACATTTTTAGCACCCATGTTTTGCAGGTCCTACAATAACAAAAATAATGTATAAGTTAGGTTTGATTGAACTAGAACTGTAACAGACTCTTCTGGCAAACTTAACATTGTCCATGTTTAAAACAAAGGACTCAACTGTTTTCACTTTGCATTTGTTTTAAAAGATATATAACATTTATAGTGGAACACTGTAGAAATCTTAAATACTTGCCATGCCTACTTCCTTTGTAACTCCTGCTCCATATCTAATATTTGAAACAGCCATCTGGAAAACAAAAACAAAAACAAAAACATTTAGGTGTAGGCTATATTAGAGAGTTGGCCACTCCATTTCTAAAATCCGGAAATGGTTCCTCACTGTCTAGAGAATAAAGTATACATTCCTTAGCATGGCCTCCCACGTCACACCCCACCTGGCCTCAGGATCATCACACTTCTTTAAGCAAAACTTGGCTCCAGTCACATTGGAATTACTTCTCTTTTCCTAAACACAGCATAAACTCTCAATTGTTCCCTCAGCTTGAAATGTCTGCCTTCCCTTGCCTCCACACCTAAATGAACTCTCAAATTTCTTCTTATTTTCCATTTTAAATGTTATTGTCTCTGTGCATTTTTTGCTCCTTCATTCACTCATCCACCCATTCATCTATCCAACCACCCTTGCATGCACATATGTATGTATCCACCCATCCACCCATCCGTCCATCCATTCATCCATCCATCCATCCTCTCATCCAACCAACACTACTGAGTGCCTCCAGGCACTGTGCTCAGCTCTGGTAATACAACTATGAACAAGAAAAACCTGGCCTCACAAAGTTCACAGCTGAGAGAAGAGCTTTTATACTGATGGATGATGGGTCACTTTTGGCCCAGAGACATGTTTTGTTTGATCCACATTATGTTTAAATTTCTTTTTTTTGAATTGGATAATAACTCTTAAAAAAGATTAAAAAAATCCAATGTGACCGTCAGGATTTCTCTCTCTCTTGCATAATCGGGCAACACCATTTCCGCATTCCGATGCGGCAGCGATCATGTGGGGCTGAGTATGGGCCGCACGCTTCCCATGGGCCAGTGCTCTCAGAGAACTCAGCACGGTCCTCACCCAGCCTGTTCATGGAAGGGTTAACTGTCAGGACCCCTGGTGACATTTTAATTTATGACTCCTGAACTAGAAGGAGGCAGGGATTTAAACAAATAGTTATATAATTACAGTGTGATAAAAATTCATCACAATTAATTGTTCCTTTATTCTTGCTTCAGAAGATTACTTGAACCTCTTTTGGGACTGTTATAATTACGAAACTAAAGATGATTTAGCATACAACATATACAAGTTGGAGAGTGTGCAGAACTGTACAGAAGACAGTATTCTAACTATTACTTATGCTATCAGCAGATTTACACTCCATTATCCTAACAAGGTACTTTGCTAAATAGAGCCTGATCAAACAACGAGATTAGGGAACATCAATTAATAACAGATTTCAACGAGATAATAATGCATTAGCAAAAGACTCTAGCTGTATTTTTTTCAGGTCATTCATAAAAGAATGGATTGATTAAATCTACCTCAAAGGCATAATCAGTTGTTTTTCCAGGTGGAAGTCCAGGAGCTAGAAATGTAAAAAACTAGCATCAGAGTAGGCTTCAAACACAAAGCAAAAATATTGTTATTTGATAGTAAATTGGTATTCCATCAGTGAACATAAGCATATCCCTTGAAGCTGAAAATATATTTTGCAGGTTTCACTGTTGCATATCGAATTAAAATTAAATCCTGCATTTTAGGAGAATGTAATGCTAACGATGCTGATTGTATGAAACTAAAGTTGTTTAAAATATTTTCTCCACTGAAATTAAAATATACTTTTGAAAATGTAACGTGCAAAAATCTTCTAGAAAAAAAACCATCTAGAATTGGGTTATTGTTAGAGAACAACTATCAGCAAATTCATTAATTAGAGTCCTGCTTATATTTCTTTTAGCAAATGTAATAATTTGTTTGAATTAAGATTTTTTTCCCACAGAGGTTACTTATCACAGTAAGATATTTATATTTTTCAAGCTTATACATATGAAAAATTTAGTTTTCTTTGTGAAATTTAATAAAAATTTTTAAAACTGATATTTCTTTGCAAAGTATCAGGTTTTATTGCGGCAAAAATGATTTTCTGTCATATTGGAACAACAAGAGGGCTCCACTTAATGAATTTTATCCTTGTTTGTATCTACTTAATTGTAGTCCTGGTCAGTTGTAATATTGAAAAAAAGTCTACAGAACAATTTTCAATACTTTTTTTTTTTTTTTTTTTTGAGAAAAAGAGACTACAGCTAGACAATAATCTACGTTCAGTTCTCTGGGGGCAAAGGTATCCTTAATTAAAATTCAAATTTCTTGATCCCTACAGGCTTTAAAGAAATAATCTATTACTCCTGTTACTAAAGTTTTGGAAAAGACATAAATTGGGTCTTACAAAATGGTGAGATTATCTTTTTCTAAATTATTAATTTTATTCCCTCAAATAGGAAATTACTGATTCTTTGTTGAAACCAACTAAGAATTGGAGAAAACCAGCTGAAGACTAAATTCTGCATATGTCCATGAGGGCCTGAAAGGCTGGGCTTCTGACTAGTGGATGGCCATTCACGACCACGAGGTCCCCAGGTTTGTCCTGAAGGGTGAGCCACACCCTTCTGTGGGCTGGGAAAAAGCCCCCAGTTAGTTAGTCTGTCTGTTCTCAACAGGCTTCTCTGTGCTTCGGATCCTGTGGGGGCAGGCCCCCCCTTTCCATCTCTTGCCTCACAGTTTAGATTTGACCTCTTCTTCTAAGAGGTGAAAGCAGTTTTTGTGTCAGTAATTCATGTGACATTCTGAGGACACACTGAAGCCACAATGAGCTTCCTGCTGCTCTATGGACAATGGAGTTGGTAAAGATTAAGACATTTGTGGGCACTGAAAACGTTTGTCATTATTTTTAATTATTAAGAAATAGAACGTTATTTTAAAAATTGATAGAAACAAGTTTTTTCCTTCAAGGAACCACCTTGTTCTTTAGCCTCTTTCTTTTTTGAGATGTATCAGAACCTTCGAAAGATTTCATCTTGATTAAGTTTGTTTGATGAACTCAGACAATCTTAACATCAGTGCCACCACTTTTAGCTTTGGCAAATAATTCTATTTAAAATGGAAAAACATTATAAATAGCATTAAATATATGTTTGAGCCAAACACATAATCAGCAGCATATATTCAGCTAACATCATATAATTAGAACTACATATTATCAATTTCAAGTGACAAGGCAATCATTTTCATCAACCTTCCTCTCACATATACTGATTTTCTTGCTTTACACTTTGCCTAAACGTATTATAAGTGCCAACCGTGGATACCGAAATTGTGGCTAGTTTAAAAATACAAAATGGGTTATTACCTTGGGAGTAAGTATGAGAATGAGTTGGGCACTGGCATCTAGAGAAAAGAAAAGAAAAAAAAAGATAGAAAAAAATGGAAAGTGAAACTAGAAAACCAAAAGACAAGAAGCCTTAAAATAACTCACAATGCATTCTAGTCTTAAGATGCTATCAGAGTAGTAGCTATTGGCAAACACTGGACAATAGAACCCCCCCCCCCCCCAGAAATCACCATGGACGAAAAGTTGACTCAATCTTTCCAGGGCTGTAGGACCATTTTTTCACGAATTATTCAGGCGGTTCTTAGTAAGTGCTTGCCTGCGGGGAGCAGAGATGAGCACTCTGGGGATATAAATACGTTTAAGATGGGATCTTACTAGGTTAGGAGCTTTGACCAAATTGACCCAAGGTTAACTACTCGCGCTTTATCTCCCATCCCCCACAACCTGGGAACTTTCCTTGTATTTTCCCATTGTCTTCAATCAAGGGCTGTAATTTTTCTTCAAACAGCCTGTGGGCCCCTTCCTCCAGGAAGCCCTCACTGGGCCTGCAGGCCTCCCTCGTCACCACCTCGCGCCTCCATCCTTTCTCTGCCAAGCTGCAGCGACCGCCGCTCAGGATCCGCGTGCTGGTCCCCTCCCCGGGCGTGTCCGCCCTCACCCGCCACCTAAACTGCGCTCACATCTCACCCAACCCTTCACCTCTTCCCAGTTCTCAGTCCACTTCTCCACAGATTTTCCACGTTCTCCTTTTCTGAAACTTTCCCTCCCTTGGCTGCCGTATCCCTTCCCTGTCCTGGCCGCCTCCTGTTGCTTGGACAGTCCCTTCTCTGGCTCCCCTTTCTCCTGCTCGCTATCCCACTGGGACCTTATCATGGGGGGGGGGGCGTCCAGCAGATACGTGAGTGCATACCTCCCCTTCCCCCCATCAAATTTGGAATGAAAACATCTGAGGGGGAAGATGGGGAAGGGAGCAAAAGGGTTGAACTCAATAGCGGTCAAGATCTCAAAAACTGCGAATTGCGAAGTCAAACAGACGCGGGCAGCGGTGCGAGCGCGCCCACGAGTCACGGCTGCCACCTGGTGGGCGCCGCTGGGAACGCCAAGCGCGGAGACAGAGCATCCGGCGGTCTAACCACTGCGCGGGCTCCCGCGGGGAAAGGGAAGGAGGCAAGGCCAAGGTGCTGTACTTCACAGGGGGGCCTTACTTTCGAGGGCTTTCCCTGCCTTACGCCCGCCCTCCAAGGACAAGAAAAGAGAGGCAAAGGGAAGAACAAATCCAAACGGAAAGCTTTGCAACGCGCAGGACCGTGGGCGCACAGGCTTCTTTTCACCCCTCTCCCCTTCTCTTCTTATTTTCTATTTTTTAAGCTCTGAGGCTACCTCAATTCTTTTCTACTCCTTCTTATTTGTGGTTTGAATCCCATCCCCTCTTGCCTTCTCCGGACCTCCATCTGTCCTGTATTTCCTAGTCTTGCCCCTCACTCAATCTGTGTCATCATTTTTAAGAGTTTCATGCTTAAAACTCTCAACCTCTTGTCCCCTCTGGCTTGCTCACTCTCTGGTTAACCCTTCCGGCCTACATTGGCTTGGCTGAAATCTGGCTGCTGTCTCAAGTCCCAGCTTTCCTGCTGTATCCTCACTTCTCAGACCTCCTAGCCCCTTGCTCTCACTGCATTGAACACTGTGAGCCACCCCCTCCTTGTGTAGGGGAACCACTGTTCTTGGCTTCCTGGACTCGCTACTCCCCTGGGTAGGGTGAGTTATTCTTTCTCTGGTTCCTTTTCCACTCTGCCCACTCCTTAAGTGCTGGGTTCTATCCTGGGCTCACCCCTCACCCTTTATAGACAACCATGCATCAAGGCCTCAAATATTTCTCTACTCAAATGCACCCTCTTCTCTGGGGCCCTCTGCCACTCTCTAGTTCCCGTGTCATCTCTCATCTGGGTTGCTATGGAGCTCCTAACAGGCTTCTCTTGGCTCCACCTTGGCCACACTGTGGTCAGAGGCATAGTTCCAATGATGTCACTCCCTTGTTTAAAAGTACTTCAATCCGGCCAGCCTGGTGGCCTAATGGTTAAGTTTGGCATGCTCCACTTTGGCGGCCCAGGTTCGTGGGTTCAGATCCCAGGCGTGGACCTACACCACTCATCAAGCCATGCTGTGGCAGTGACCCATATAGAAAATAGAGGATGGGCACAGGTGTTAGCTCAGGGCCAATCTTCCGCACCAAAAAAAAAAAAAAAAAAAGAGTATTTCAATGGCTCCTCATGGCTCTTAGGATAAAGTTCAGACCTGGCCTTGCCTCACTGGCCCTGCTAATCTCTCCAGCCTGGCCCTCCATGTCCGGGGTTGAGCTCTTGAAAAATTAACTTTGTTCTTTTCCTTGAATGGGCCACACACTCTCTCTCTCGCCCAGAACTTTGTTCTTGTTATTTCCTCTGCCTGGAACATCCTCCCCACCCCCCACCTTCTTCTGAATAACTAGTCTTCTTTCTTGTGTCAGTTCAGATGTCACTTCCCCCGTGTGGGTCTTCTCTTAGGCCCAAGGCCCTGACAGACACCCTCTCTCTGGGGTCCTTAGTATCCATGCCTCCCTCCCCATTAACACTGTTTCCACACTGTATTGTTGGTGCTGTTCTCTGGTTTCCACCTGCCTCTGGATTGTACCCTTTCTCACAGCTTTATCCGCAGCAGCTAGCACAGTGCCAAGTGCAAAGTAAGCTCCTGATACTGACTGACTGAATGAGTAAATAAATAAGTGTAGACATTTAAAATCCCCTGACCTTCTCTCTTTTTTTTTCCTGGTGTAACAAGACACGGAGCCTGACCTGGGGAAGGGAGCATAGGCTGTGGGTTCCCCCACCTTCTCAGGATGGCCTGAAACCACTGATGGGCTTCTCTGCATTCCTTCTGAGGAGCAGAGGAAACCATGTAGAGCAAGCCCCTCATCTACCCACCTTCTGGCTCTGGCCCAGTCATTTTGGCTTTCCTCCTGGTATCACCCCCCTCCCGGTGCACTAAATCTCAGTCCCGCTCATCAGACATCACTACCAGCAGTTCTTCTTTCTCCTGCATCATCAAAATTTCCCTCCTATTAGATCTTATCCATCAGCATGAAGATGTTATTTTTCCTATATTATGTTAAAAACAAACAACAACCTTCTCTTGTCCCTCTTCCCTCTCCTGTTGCTGCCCCCACCTCTCCTTCCCTTTGGCTGACTATACCTGCTCTCTCTAATTTCTCTTCTCCCATTCTCTCTGGAACGTCCTCTGAGTGGCCTTTGCCCCACGCCTCCACTGAGAAGCTCACCAGGTCACTAATGCCCTCCACCTTGCTAATACCCTGCTCCGTTCCTAGTTCAGTCCTCACCTTACTGGCCCTGTCAGCAGCATCCTCTGCTCACTCCCTCCTCCCTGGACACACTGTCATCCTTTGGCTTCCAGGACACTGCTCTCTGGTTTTCTTCCTACTGCACTGGCTGCTCCTGGCCTGGTTTCTTTTCATGCTCTTGACTCTGCGTGCTGGAGGGTCCCCGGGTGCAGCCTGTGGTCCCTTCTCTTTTCTGTCCACACTCACTCTCTGAGGGACCTCACCTGGTCTCATGGCCTTGAATACCTTCTATGTTGATGAATTCCACATTTATCTTTCTGGTTTAGGCCTCTTTCCTGAACTCCAGCTTCACCTGCCTACTCGACATCTCTGCTTGAGTGCCTATTACACATCTCCTTTTCCTGCCTAAGACCGAGCTCCTGTTCTTCTCTCAGAGCCTCTTCCCTATCCCAGTTTAATGGCAACTTCATCCTTCCAGTTGTTCAGGCCAAAAAACCTTGGGGTCATCCTTGGCCACCACCACCTGGCCCCCAACATCTCTGATCTCACCTCCCCCTCGCTCACTCTGCTTCAGTCACCTTCTTCTGACACAATGCCAGGTATGCTGCACCTCCGGTTACCTTCCCAGAGAGCCATGTGGTTCACTCCCTCCCTCCACTGGTCTTTCCAAAGCAGTCACCTTCTCAGTGAGTGTGGTCAGCTGAGCCCCTGAAGATCTTAGGGTCCTAATTCCCGGAACCTGTGAATGTTACTTTATATGGTGCATATAAGTGAGACTGCAGATGTGATTAAGTTAATGATCTTGAGAAGGAGAGATTGTCCTGGATTATCTGAGTGGGCTCTATATGTAATCACAAGCACCCTTATAAGAGGGAGGCTGGAGAGATTTGACACAGAAGAAGGCAATGTGACCACTGAATCAAGATGCTACATTGCGAGCTGTGAGATGGAAGAAGGGGCCACAAGCCAAGAAATGCGAGGAGTGCAGCTCTAGAAGCTGGAAAAAGCAAGATAATGGATTCTCCCCCATGGCTTCTGAGAGGAGTGTGGCCCAGCTGACACCTTGATTTGGGCCTGGTAAAACTGATTTTGGACTTCTGAACTCCAGAACTGTAAGAAAATAAATGTGTGTTGTTTTAAGCCACCACGTTCATGGTAATTTGTTACAGCAGCGATAGGAAACTAATACAGTGAGGTCTTCTCTGACCATCTTCTCTAAAATTGCATCCCCTCCTCCAACACCCCATCCCCCTTTACTTTCTCTTTAATACCTATCAACATTTAATATACTCTAAATTTTACTCACTAGTTTATTGTCCACCCCACCTGCCCCAGGCGCACACGTAAGCGCCAGGGCTGTGAGGCTGTTTTGCTCCCTGCCGTGCCCCAGGGATGAGGACACTGCAGAGCTGCAGGGACTGTGATGTCCTTCCTCCTGGGCTTTCTCCCACCTCTTTGGCCTTGCCTCCTATCCTTTAATGCTTTTCCTCCATTCAAAGTGCAAATCATTTGCAAATCCAAATACCTAAGGAGGCTGGCAGGTAAGTAACAGCGAGGCGAGAGCTGTCAGTGCAGCTGCTGTGTGGAGTGAATGGTGGGCAGCAGCGGGGTCTCTCAGGAAGCTGGAGTGCTCACTCTGTCCAAAGGAGGTGGCCTCCACTCCACCTTAGCCCCTGCAGACTTTTCCCAGATGAAATGTGGGCCCAATGATGCCATTTCCCAATTTCCCATGATTTTTATCTGAGATTTCCCACTTTTTAAATGCTTACTATATTAAAAAAATAAACATGTGCAGAACAAAGCACTGTTTTGCTACTCCTGCTCTAACAGTGCCCCCCAGGACTTCATCCTTAGCCCTTTTCTTCAGGTTCACAGTTTGCCAAGGTCTCTGCTTCCATACCCGTGTTTCAGCTGTCCTCTATACACATGGATGAGTTCCCAACTTGCTCCTGAACTCCAGAACAATATATTCAGTTATCTGCTGGAGGTCTTCATCTGGATGTACCTGAGGCATGGCCAACTCAAAATGCCCAAGACTAAAGTTATCATCTTCCTCCTAAAGCTCACCCTCTTACAGTCCCTATCTTGGTAAACAGCCCCACTGCTCACCCGATGCCCCAGCCAGAAACCTCAACTTCTCTCTCTGTTTCACTAATCAGACATAAAATCCTACTGATTCTAACCAACTCCTCAATATTTCTCATATCTACCATCGATACTAGCTGCCTCTCCTTGGTGCTTGAAGCCATGCCTTTTTAGCTGGAGCACTACAATTACCTCTAATCTTTCCTCTCCACTCTTCACTGCCACTAGAAAGCTCTGACATAATTCTAATCATGCCACACTCCTTTGTTGTGCAACCATTCCAAAAACACATTCGTGTGACACTGGTTCCAAGGGATATGAATGGTGTTGCTAGATAAAAAGAGTTCTATGATGACACAGGTTTAGAGCAAAGAGTTTAAATAAAACTAAACTTTTTTTTTTTCTGCAGGTCTTCTCAGAGCCCTTTGTGTGCTGATGTATATCCTGACTCTCCATAGGGTGATGCAGCGGTTAGCAGTTTCCTACTTATTTGGCCATGGGATTCTTTTTTCGTGGGGGCATCTCAAGGTATTAGTGTTTCACAGTGAGAACTATTGCTTCAATAGCTTTCCATTATCTACAGGACACAATTAAAATTCCTTAGCGTAGGACTAAGAACAAGGATTGTGAAGCCAGAATATCTGGGTTCAAATTATGGCTGTGCCATTTGCTTAGTGTGTTAGTGGACAAATTATTTTTCTCCATGCCTTCTTTCTTTATCTGTAAGATGAGGATAACACCACAGTGTGGCACAGAGTTGTTGTAAGGATTAGAGTTACTAGTAACAGGGCATGATAGTGTGTAGGACAGTGCCTGGCACGTGGTAAGTGCCTAGTGTTAGCTGTTTTCTTATTTACCGTCTTTCACCATCTGTCTTCTCCATCCTCCCCTTCCCCTATGAAGGGAGGTCCAGACTTTAATTACTTTTAGATCCTGGAACTACATCTCTTGCCTCTGGTGCTGCTCCTCCCTTTGCTTGAAATCCCTTAGTCCCCCTCCTTTCCCCTTATTTATCTCCACCTGCTAGCTCAAAATTTCCCATTTTTCCCAGGTCAACTTGTGGTGTTGCACACTCAGCCTGTATTTATCAGGTGGCTACTATGTAGCTGGCACTGCTGGAGGGGGAGTCAGACATGTCATAACATTTAATACCCTGCCTCCCTGGACATGCCAGGGAGTGAAGCTCCTGGTGATTTCTCACATCCACCTTTCTCTTGCACACCCTCTGTCCGCTGCGTTCCGCACAGGCCTGATTTACCCGTCTCCTCATGCGATTCCCCACCAGACTTTAAACTGCCCCCGAGTCTTTCATCTTTGTATCCCCAGCACCTAGGGCAGTTTTTGGCACATGGCAAACAACCAATACATATGTCTTGGTCGGTACACGGGAGGCCAGAATCTACCACTGAACCACCAATGCTTCTTGGTCGGTACATGAATTTGTCTTGGTCACTGTGCCAAGTTCTCCACTGCGCACCACCAGTGGAAACAGGCGCTGTCCTCTCTGGGCCTTAAGTTTCCTTAACGGTAGGACAAGCAGAGTAAAGCCTGCCTCAGCGTGCCGTGCATGGCTGCGTGACACACTGTGAGCACGCTGTCCCGCCCGGCGCACGGCCCGGCGCGCACTGCGGTACCCCTGCCCCAATTTCTGGACAGGAGCCCCGGGAAGGATGCTCCGGGCCGGGCGGGCCACACCCCGGGGCTGCGTGGGCACAGCGGCACCCTCCGGTCCCCGCCCGCCCGCCAGCCCCGCACTCACGCTGCGCGCTGCAGTTGCCTCAGCAAGCGCGCGACCCGGGCGCGGGCGGCCGCGGCCATGGCTGCGCCTCTTCCTCCCGCGGCCCCGCCCCCCGCGCCGGCCAATCCCGGCCGCCCGCTCCCGCCCCCGCCCCCGCGGCCGCGCGGCCCCCCCCGCTCCGCCAGGTCTCCTGCCCGAGCCTTGGGCCTCTGGGTCAGGACCGTTTTCCCACGGGCGGAAACCTCAACCGCCTCAGGTGCAAGGTCTCACCATCCACCTTTGACATTGCCGTAAATTTCAAAGGAGCCCTGCTCCGTAGGGTCTGGGTATTTCCTTAAGTCTCTCTACCTAAAACCTTGTATTTCACATGTTGGGGACGTGGGGAAAGAGAAACAAGGGCATTCTTTTTCTACGGATTCAAAATGCTGTTTTGCCTTCTTAAAGTATTTCAGAATAAATTATTAAGACACTGCCATTTAAACTGTTTTAACAGTAAACAAGAACCTTGCAAAAAGCCCGAGGGCCCTTTTTTACAGGGCCAGTGCTGTGTACAACCACTAAATCAAGAAAGTCTAAACACAAAAACCTGAAAAATCCCCAGACAAAACAATAACAATAAAAGACCCGGACAGTTGAGAAAAATTGAAAAGGTGTTAAATGTTCTACGAATGGCTTGGCTTTTGATGAAGCTTTTCAGGATACCATTAGATAGCTTCATCAGTAGTTAAAACCTTTCCATGGTTACCTACACTCTGGGAGGGCTTAGCAGCGCCAAGTGCTCTGTGTCCCAGTGGAAAAGTTGATCAATGATGGCAAAGTTCCACTTTAACTTAATCAGAAAGTATCCTAAAACAGTAACAATTGAACAACTGTGTTTTTAGTAACCTATTATGAAATCTGAATTAATCTTTTCTTTCATAGCAATTTCCAAAAGCAACTTACAAAAATGAGACAACGCTGAAAAAATGAAAAGGACTCCCAATTTTAATTTCCTATCAATTATCAGACTAATAGTGGGTCTAAAAAAGTGCTATAAAAGCAGCAAAAAAGCGCCCCCCCCCCCGCCCCCCAGATTCTTCACCTACTATGAATCCTTTTCAGGAGCTATTTATTTTTACAAAGATGAATTACTGAGATTAGGGAAAGAGACCCAGGATAGCTATAAACATTTCACCTCCTAATGAAACTAGCTCAGGTCAATTAGACAAATAAATCTAAAGATAATTAAGGATTTTGTGGGTTTCTTTCTCTCTTCCCCAAACAGACCCTACTTGAAGCTTTAAAAAAATTAGGGACATAAATGTTGAGAAAGGTTTAAGTATTTTATGGATTAATGAGGATTATTACCACTATTTACTGAAGTCCAAATTTATCATTTACAGCAAATCAATGTTTTCAGAGTTGAAAAGCATGAAATCTTTTCTCAAAGAGACACCAGTTGTATTACACTTTCAATATTATATGATACCAAAAGAAGTATGAGCTTTTCTAAAAAAGTGAATTTAGCTGCTTTATATTTTTTTGAAAGTAAATGAAAATAATCTGTACCAGGTATCCAGCTCACTGGCTTTAAGATTTCTACCAACAGTCAAAAAGTTGAAAGCAACATTAGATACAGATATAGTTTTATTAAATAACCTTTACAACAGTTACTTTTAAGTCCAGTTCTGAAAATGTAATGTTTCCCCCTCGCTTTGATAAATACACAAGTTTGTTATAAAAATAATGCAGAAATCAAACTAAGTCTCTAAAATATGACCAACTGTCCCTCACACCATATCCAAAGTTAAAAAGAAAAAAGATGTGTTTGAGAACAGAACTCATGCCCAGTTTCAACCGAATTCGTTCCTTAATTTTTAGGTCCTCAAATACATCCTTCAATCTCCAAAGTCTTGGTTGTGGGAAAAACATTAATTTGTAGAGTCCAACATTTACAAACTACCTTGAGGGATGAGCAATCCTATCCCTTCAACTTCAAGCCCAGTGAAGGTGGCAGTCACCTTCTTCTGCATCCCCCCAAAGTACAGTACCTAGAACTCAACATTTAGTACAGTTCTTGGTTTAGACGGGTCCACGGGTGAAATTTACTTCCTCCTCTTTCCTCCTGGATGTTGCCCTCCTTTTCTCTTGCCACCCAAGCCAGGCGGCCCGGAATGCATCTTGCCTCCCAAGCCCCCCTTCCTCTTTCTTCCCTGGCTGGGCGGGCCCCCTTTCCCCTTGCCCCCAGAACCCTGCCGGCCCCCCTTTCTCTTGCCCTTCTGGCTCATTTTCTTCCTCTTGGCCGCCTCCTCCTGGTCTTCCTCCCTCATCTGCTTATTGGTGGCCCTCGTCACGTCCAGCTGAGGCTTTTTGCTGTTCATGAGTCGTAGCAGCTCCAACTGGCTCTTTTTCTCGGCTGCGAAGTCCCCGAAAAGGGGCTGAAACTTCCTCTTCTTGCCAGAGCCCCGGGGCGCCTTCTCCTTGGGCAGGCGCTCCTGGAAGCGCCCCACAGAGGCGGTGGAGACCTTGGCCACCTGCATGGCACGGCCCAGCTCCTCCTTACTCTGGTGTCCGGTAGGGAGCATGCCGGCCGCGCTGGGCAGCTGCGTCTTGTGCGCGCGGGCCAGGTTACGCAGCCGGTTCAGCTCGTTCTTGGCCACCCGTTCCTTCTTAGCCTGAATCCGCTTGGCGAACTGGTCCTCCAAGGGGTCGGCACCGCCGGGCACCTCGATCAACCATTCCTTGGTGTCGTCGCGGGCGCGCTGGTAGCCCCAGCGGCGCCGCCACTGGCCGCTCACCTCGTCCCACACCAGATTGCTCTTCTTCTTGGGACGGATGCCCTTGAGGCGCGCGAACTGCTGCCAGCGTGTAAGCGGCCGCGGCCGGGGCACCGGCTTCTCGCGCGGCAGGCGAGTGGTGGGCTCGGGCAGCCGCGCCACCAGCGCCTCCTCCACGCGCTCCGTGGGCAGCTGCCACAGCTGGTTGATGAGCAGCTGCGTGTTGTCCCGCGCCAGGGCCCGCAGCTCGGCCTCTGGCGTGGGTCCCGCGCTCCGCAGCCCCGTTGGGGGGTTCCGGTCCGAGGCCAGCAGGTTCCCTAGGTCGAACTCCAGCTCCAGCTCCTTGTGCACCGTGATGCGCTGCAGCTTCTCCGCCTCGTCCCGCTCCGCCTTTGCCAGCAGCTCCTCCACGCTCTGGCCCTCCATGGCTCTGGCTGGGCTCACGCGCTCCGGGAGGACAGTTCAAACCACTCCTCCGCCAGCACCGGCTCCAGCGCGGGCCACACAACCACGTGCGGTCCCCCGGACGCTCGTTCCGGAAGAGAAAGCTTCCCTTCCGGCGCGCCCGGAACTGGCTCACAACGCGAGCGCCCTGAGAAAAGGCCGGCAGAGGGCGGTGTCGGACAGCAGATGGGATTAGAGGCGGCCCTTTTGGTCGCGCCGGGAGGGAGGCGGAGCTGGCCGGAGGAGCCCCGACTGCAAGTTCCACGGCCTGATTGGGACTCGGCTCCCAGGAGGCGGCGGCGCAGGTGGGGCGGCGCAAATCTGGGGCCTCAGCCTTTCTTGTGACTAGACAAATTGTGTTTCACTAGAGACCTGACCCACTCACGGGGTCCCGGGTGTGGGCCGAGAAAAACACTTCCCAAAGATACACATGAAGCCAAGTGTAGAAGAAGATCGGTTTGCTTTGGGAGCGAGCGGGGCTGGGAGTTAGACCGCCCTGAGTGGGCGCGGGTGTGCGCCCACCCCAGCTTGCTGATCGCTGGTAGCCCCGAGTCCCGGGGCCGCATCGTCTCCTGGCTTTGGCAAAAGAGCACCCGCTCTGCAGTTAGGTTGCCTGGGTTCCGGTCCTGCGTGTGCCACTGTTTGACCTTCCGCTGTTTAACTTGTTTGGGCCTCTTTTAACACCTGTAACCTCCTAGGGCTGGTATAAAGATAAGTTAATATGCCCCCAAGGGAGCTTAGACTACAGCCTGGAACATGAGTGCTCGATAAATCTTAGCTAGAATCTTAGCTTAGAATTATTATTTGTTCTTCATAATGTCTCTGGGAGCTAAGCTGAAGAGGCAGTCCCCCACAGTGATTAAACACCAGGTTCTTGAGTCAAACTACCTGGAATGAGATCAGGTTTACTGAACCTACCTAGGACAGGTTGATTAACTTAAGTCATGTTTGTGAGTTGGTAAATATGAAACGTTAGTTCCTGATACATGGTAAGCACTCAATAAGTGTTAGATGTTGTTATTCACCGTATTCCACTGATGACAAAGGAAGGCTCAGAGAGGTAAAATTTGTCTAAAGTTATACAACTGGAAATGTAGGAGCAGGAGGAATCTTAACTCATGGCATTAAGACTACATACATATTCTCTGCAATGTCTTCCAGGCTCTTGATACTCTAAAAGTGTGGTCTCTTGACCAGCATCATAGCATCACCTGGGAGTCAGTTAGAAATGCAGAATCTCTGGCATCACCCCAGATGTCATGATTCAGAGCCTTCATTTTTACAAGATCTCTAGGTGATGAGTATGTATAGTCAAGTTTGGGAGGCACCACTGATTGTGTGGTTTACAGGTTTTGTTTTCCTTTAATGGGATGTTGGGAGTAGTGAAGAGGGGGTTATGCTGGAGAATTAACCCATAGAAGTGGACATAGTAGCCATTAGGAAATAGATTCAGTTGAGTTTCTGCTAGAGGGCTTTAGATATAGCCCCCTCTGTCACACCTGCCCCCTCAGTTTGGTCTCTTCTTAAGCTCACTATCTTTCCTCAGCTTTCCTTTGTTCATTCACTCACCAAACATTTAATGAGCACATTTTGTGCTTCAGGCATTGTGCTAGAATCTTCTTTCTTCTTCTTTTCTAAAAGCATTTTAGGATTTTCTAGGGGTTTTCTGAGTCTTTGCCTTAACACTCAGCACCAGGTCTTTAAATCAGTCATCCTGTGGGGCCAAGGCTAGGTCAAAGGCCATATAAGGTAACTGCCTTGAACCCTAAAGCTTTTGGGATTTGCCATAGGAGAGTTAAGGACATTGACAGCTACTCTGGGCGTGGCTTAGCTTCTGATTCATTCATTCATTTAACAAATATTTGAATGACTATTGTGTTCCACACACTAGATACAAAGATTAT